TCACATGGCAGAGGAGCAGAAGACAGCAAACCCACTCCCTAAAGCCTTTTTCATAACAGCATAATCCATTTATGAGAGCACAGCCATCATGACCCAGACATCCACCAAAAGTACCTCCCCACAACATTACTATACTGGGGATCAAGTTCCTAATACATGAAGTTTGGGAGACAGATTAAGACCATACCAGTCAATATTTGGCAGAATCAGATAAGTACATTTAGCCTCACTGACAACTTCGTGTTCAGCTTCTATACACACTTTCCCACTCCCACTATATAATTCAAAATAAAAACAGTACTAACCCTTTTAAAAAACTATTATGTAAGTACTCCTACAGCATTTTTTTCAGTGATAAATACTTCCATATTTATTAATGTTAAATTTCCACTTTTTTCTTTTTTTTTTTTTTCTTTCTTTTCTTGGTGCTCCTCCAGATTTACACGCTCCCTAAGAAAAGACTTCATCTGCCTTTGTGAGGATCTCCAGTTGGCAGTATCAATGGCTCCTTAAGGCTGGGCATCCACATCTGTTGGTGCTCTCTTAATTGAATTCCAGCCTTCCCTGCTCACCAGACGCTTGTTGTTTGCTGCTATTTAGGCTGCAGGTCTGAATTATGATCTTAGAGTCCATTCCAAACTCCTCGTCTTGACCATTGATCTGTACCTTTTCCTTTCTCTTGGCCCCTGGTTCTCTGCTGGTTCCAACTCACAGCTTTGCTCTGATCTGCAATGACTAGGCTCACCTCAGTTCCCATCTGCTTATCTGGACCCTTAATCATTTCTGACTGTGAGTTCCTGGATCTTCTCAGAACCCTCAACTCTGGCTCCCATATCTGACAACCACCACTCCCAGATGCCCCCCAAAATCCTTATTTGAAACCTAGGAGTCATCTTTGATATTGTTCTTCTTTGTCCAGAATCACTTGCACAACACTCTTGGCTTCTCATAATATCTCTAGAGATCACTGTTTTCATGGGAGATTCCTGTTATAATTTCTTTTTTGAGATGGAATCTCACTCTGTCACCAGGCCTGGAGTGCAGTGGCATGATCTCAACTTACTGCAATCTCTGCCTCCCATGTTCAAGCCATTCTCTTGCCTCAGCCTCCTAAGTAGCTGAGATTACAGATGCACACCACCATGCCTGGCTAATTTTTTTTATTTTTTAGTATAGATGAGTTTTCACCATGTTGGGCAGGCTGGTCTCAAACTATTGACCTCAGGTAACCTGCCCGCCTTGGCCATCCAAAGTGCTGGGATTATAGCCATGAGCCACCGCACCCAGACTCCTATTAAAATTAAAATTGGACTAGTCCAGTCCTGTGTCAGTCCCTACTATTTCTCATACATCTGAGTCATGATTACCAGATTAATCTTCTGGGAAATACTATTTTGATTGTAAGAACCCACAAATCAAGTACATGTCTATATTCTTTTTTGTTGGCAAAATAAATTGCAAACTCTACACATAGCAATTTAGAAATAAGCCCAAACCTATTTTTTCCCACCAATATTTACCAATACTATTTATCTTATTCAGCTGGCCAACATACCATCCCTAAGATATGCTTCAAGCATCTGTACCACTCAGCTTGTTCATACTGCTCTCCTTTTCTAAAATACTTCATGCTACTGGCAGCATGGTTTTGAGTAAGTTAGATAGCCCATTAAGAGCTCCAGAGTACTACTCTGTAAAATGAAGTTATGAGACAATACAGTTTCTTTTTCTTTTCTTTTATTGGGCTGGAGTGCAGCGGTGCTATCTCGACTCACTGCAACCTCTGCCTCCCAGGTTCAGGCTATTCTCCTGCCTCAGCCTCCAGAGCAGCTGGGATTACAGGTGCATGCCACCAAGCCTGGCTAATTTTTGTATTTTTAGTTAGAGACAAGGTTTTGTCATGTTGCCCAGGCTTGTCTCAAACTCCTGACCCCAAGTGATCCACCTGCCTCTGCCTCCCAAAGTGCTGGAATTATAAGCGTGAACCACCGCACCCAGCCAGACAAGATGGTTCCTAAAATCCTTTCCAGCTTAGAAGTCCATGATTCAGAGGTAGCATTCTATCCTCATCTATATGCTTCAAGACTTCCAAGTTATTAATGAAGCCGCCTTTGTCTGCTTTCACCCACACTGAGTAATTCTTTCCTTGACTGTATTTTGCCCATTCTTTCTACTGTTCACTTGGCCCAGAAACATATTCCTTCTCATATTCCTGTTTAACTTGTCATGCTTCTGTATTTTCTCTTTAATTCCTGAATCATGGGACCCAAGTATCCCATCATCACCTTATAGTAGTGAGCACCCTATCATCATCCATTGATGGATGTTGAGTGAATCAAATCATTAGTGAAAGTTGCCGGAAAAATAAATTGGAAACACATAGGTACCGCAAGGGGACTCGTTAAATGTACTCTCACTGGTCTAATTGCATTTAATTAAGTCCCTTGGGGTATAATTGCCCCTTAGGCCATGTCATCCAAGGTCAATGTGACTCATTTTAATCAGAACTTCTCCTAGGGGTGATGGTGCAATTATACAGAATTTGAGGACTTGCATCTATGATTTGGTTGGGGCATCATTTTAATTTTGTGTCTGAAACATCTGAATTCTCAAGTGTAGGAAGAAGACTTTGTAAATTAGGCCAAACAACAGCCATTAAGGCCTATTCAAACAGTCAGTCCAGATTTCCTCCCTTGCTTTGGGCTTTCTTCTCAGAAGCCCTAGACTCAGGTCGGATGACATAATGACCTTGGACAAACTGGGTGTGGGAGGTAACTGAGGCTAAAGTGATGTAGTGCTTTTAATAAGTATGGTTGAGCTTTTTTATCTAAGAATGTACAGTAAAATAAATTACTGTGTGGTACCCCTGAGTCACCACAGTGGCATTAGCCTCTGGACACATTAACCAAGAAACTCATAAATATAATAGACTGATATTTAGATTTTACTTTTTGGACATGTTTTTTAATTATTACAATTATGGGCTGTGTCTTGAATCCATAGACATCTGTTCTTTGATGCCAAGTATATAGATTTCATGATCAAAGAAAATATTTGTAGGAATTGTGGTACAACTCTTGTCCATTTTGTCCCTCAAGTCTCCAGGAAATGTTTAAGTTGATTTAAAGATTTATCACAGCTTTTTATTACTTACTGACAAAATCTGTTTTATGTAGAAGTAAGTGAAGATTGTTGTCACTGTGTAGTTATTATAAAAAGGAACTGGGCCACTCATTGAATAACAAAATAAAGTTTGGAAACTAGGGATATGAATTCTTTTTATTTGGAGTTGATGTGGAAGAAGGTGTTGGGATGGTGATACACAGGTTAGAAAAGATGGGTCAGAGGGAGGGGAAGAATCACGGCACCCAGATTAGAATCTGGGCTTCATCCCTATTCTGCCCTTAACTCAGTCTTTAACCTTGAGTTCATCATTGATGTTTCTTTACCTTAATTTCTTCAACTACAAAATGGTAATCATAACTATCTACTTTTACTGAATTATTAGAATATTTTTTGAGATAATTTTTAAAGACAAAGAAAGTAAATTGCTATACATGTTTAACCTACTAGTATTAATTCTTTCTAGCTGCATTGAGAGCTGTTCTTTGAACCACTTGGAAATAGCCCATTTCAATCTCATTTTTATCTACCCAGTTTCAAAACCTAGTCATTTGACATATAAAGATAATAATAACAGCTGCTCTAAGTACAGTGTTGAGACACTGGCTGGTGATTCCATGATTCCTATTATCAAATGCATATGAAACTTCTGATATATACTAAGCACCTATAAACAAGATAGAACACATTTAATTCATTTGCTTGTATCAAGAGCCAAATATAAAAGGTCTTATTCTAGCTTTTTTGATGATACCTGACCTCACCGTTTTTAGAATGGGAAGAATTCAATTCATTATTAAAAGAGTTATTTTCTATGTGCAATTACTATCTCTAGGATGTCTCAATAATACAAAAGGGGTAATGAAAACAACAAAACAGAAATGAATAAGGATTAGAGTTTTCAACCCTGGACTAAAATCTGAAAAATATCAGCCATAGCATAGTAAGTAACAGAAGTAATCTTAAGGTCTGAATTAATCTAGGGATGGCATTAAAGAACAGCCATCAGCTTCAAATAATATCATCATGGTTGGTCCTGGTATTAATAGTTTTGCCAAGACTGTGCTGAGAAAACATGACTAAAAACCTTGGCTCAGTGGTTAGATGGGTGACCCTGGGCATGTGAGTTAGGTTGGCAGGGGTGTAAATGGTATAGATAATATATCTATCTCTGGTGTAAATGGTAGAGATTTGTACTAGATAATTTCCAAGAGTTTTTGAGATGCTTTGTTGGAAGTATCATGTAATATATCAAATAAAGCCATATCTCTGAATAGAACCAGGCACTGCTCATCATTCCTCCTCCTTTTCTGAGTTACCTTCACCAATACCTCTTTACTTTATAGGTACCATACTCCCTTCAAAGCCACCTACCTGGATGTTCACATATGAAGAATTATGTAGCATATATTAGATGCTTAGCATGTACAACCTTATAATATTGTTCCATTTTATTTTATGATTTTCCATTTCTCTGGGATTTCTGGCACTTAACTAAAGGTTTTGCATATAGAAGGCATTTAATGGATAATAATGAGCATATAATAAAGTAGAATGTATATCTCATCAACCTAGAGAGGCAGTCACTATGCATTGGAAGGATAAAGACTGTGGGAGATGATGGGGAAAGAACGGTTCTTGTCAATAGACACAATTTGTTTGCTATCCTTGCTTTCCCATATACTACATGACCATGGGCAAATTACTTGATTGCTTGGAATAATTTTTACTCCACTTATCAAATGGAAAAAAAATATTTTAGAGGGTATATGTACATATTTGTTACATGGAAATATTGTGTGATGCTGAGGTTTGCAGTATGGATCTTGTCACCCTGGTAGTGAACATAGTATCCAATAGGTAGTTTTTTAACCTACCTTCTCTCCTTCCATTCTCTAGTAGTCCACAGTGTCTGTTTTTCCCATATTTACATTCATGTGTTCTGCATCCTCTAAACAACCTTTGAGGAAGGGGGGAAATTGCCAGGGATGAAGAAATGAGAGGTAACCAAGGTGAGCAGGTATTCAAGATATCAGCTTAGTAGTATTCAAACACTAGAGAGTTTTGATCACTCTAGAGCTGAAAAATTGCATCTTATATAGTTGTGAACAGAAAGGATTATTAATGGCTTTTAAATCAAACTTGGAGCCGAGAAGAAGATGCTGAGTTCCAAATCTCATCACATCAAATGCATACAGGAAGCTGAAACTATTTTCTTTCTTTCTTTTCTCCCTGTTCCAGATGCTTGACTAACCAGGCCTAGGTTTCTCAGCAGAAACATTTATTGATCCTTTCCTTGGTGGATCCAGGTTTCATGGGGCCTGAAATTAGGAAATTTTGGAGGTTCTATATAAAGAAAATAATGTGCAAGTATATTTCTAAGACTAGCTATAAAATAAATATGTTTTAGAATAAGAAATCACAAATTTTAGAAAGCTCAAAATTGCACCCATATTACAAAATCCAGAAAAAAAGTTTAAAAAAATGCCAATGAACTACACACACCTCTTCTCTCCCACATTTTTTGCCATGTATGCTTTCATTACTAATAACATAACTATGATTTTGTAATTTTTTCAATAAAAATAGAAGCAATGGAGTTTCTTTTAGCATAATTAATCATCCTAAGTCATGTTTTTTGTTACTGATAGCAAGGATTCATTCAAATTCACAACTTTTTATTTACAATTCCATATAACATTTCAGAATTATTAGAGAGAACATTCTTTGAATCTTTTTCATATGTAAACAGAAAGATTTTAGGGCATTTTACATTTCTTTGTGTGTAACTAATATTAAATACTTGTCACTTATGAGTTTATCAGTGTCCTTGTAGTCATGGCATATTATTAGTTTTACATTATCTTTGTTGTCATTTCATTGGAAACCAACATGTATGCTGGATTATAAGAATGGCTACATTTTTAAAAATCCATGCCTTTTGGTAGAATCCTTCCACAAAACTTAGCCATGGGACTTACTTTGATAAAATATTACCAAGCATTATTTAAGCTGAGTCTTAAAAACCATTTGGATTTAGGACTTGTTCCTGCTTGCTGTCATTGGAAACAGTGAAATGGCCATCATGAGAATAAGTACTGACCTGTTTTCAAAATAATGAGAACTGTGGCCTAGTCATTGTGTACTGCTAGTTGATGGCCAGTCAACTGCCAAACTTGCAAAGGAGGATATTCCAATCACCAGCCTCCAGATGATGCCCCCCTCCTCAAGCCCAGCTTACTGCAGACCTGTGAATGTGATTGGCCAAGACTAGAAGAAGAGTTGCCCAGCTGAGCCCAGCCCAAATCACCAAATATTGAATAGTTAGCTAAATAAATTGCTGTTTTAAGCCAGGAGATGGCAAACATTTTCTGTAAAGACCCAGATAATAAATATATTAGGTTTTGTGGGCCACCTGCTGTCTTTGTTACATTTCTTTTCCTTCTCCTTCTCTTTCTCCTCCTCTAACTCCTCCTCTTTCTCCTCTTCTTCCTCCTACTTCTCTTTAAAAATATAAAAACTATTCTTAGCTCATGGAACATAAAAATACATGCTACAGGCCAGATTTGATCCATAGGGTGTAGGGTAAACTATTAACTTTAGAGGAAGTTTGTTACATAGCAAAAGGTAATTGATAAAGCAAATAATATAAATATTTTCCCAAATGTATTCGTATGATTTATTTTTCTTCATTACTGGATTCACAACAATCCCAGGGCCTGATCATTCCTTCTATTCAAAATGTATCTCATCAACTTAGTGAATTTTTGTTTTTGGTATGGCATGAAAATCCTTGGCATGGTATGAATATCTACACATGGAGTTGACTGAATCTCACATGAAACCCAACTGTCTCCCAAGTTTAACTATCACTTGGCTATAACCCAAAAATCCTTATGGGTACTCCAATACTGCTCATCAAGGGGGAAGTGTGTTAGAGGTAAAATGAGAGTGAAAAGAGACAGCAGACTTAATCGATTATAGTTATAATATATTTCCCCATAAATTAAAATAATATGTATGAGCACGTTAGGAATCCTTCCAGGGATAGAGTGCATACAAATGATGGGACATGCTACTTCAGTGTTATTAGCTTCTCTACAAATCTACCTCTGTAACTTTCAGACCATTTAAATCACATTGGAGGAAGTGCACATGAGCTCAAGTGGGTAAGAGACACTTATTTCCCAATTCCACTAAGAGATAGATTTTATCTACAAAAATGGCAGCCTTCTCCCTGAGTTATCAGTGGTAAAAGTATTTTTAGTGTAAGTAAATTGACTGTATATGCACCATAGTCTCCATGAGAAACAAGTACAGCTAAATATTTCCATGTGTTTTTCCCCAACTTTAATATATGAGCCACATTTTTAACTTTAAAGCATCTACTTTTAAAATTTTCATTTCATAATATATTCTTGGAATTTCATTCATCAACTTCATCTATCTGCTATCTGTTTGTAACACAGGTCATAGATGATACAAAAAATTATGTCTTTGTAAAATTATTCCCACAATTTAAATGTTATTACTTACCAAAAACTCTTTACTGGTCAACAATGTGAAAGTGCTTCCCCTTGGCCAGGTTAATTTAAAATAATGTGGTCTGGGAAAAAAAAAATAAGTTTCCATGAGATTTTTCTTATCTCTGTTTCCCATCTGGCTTGCTGTTATAAACATTTAATCCAGAGTTTGCTGCCAATGTTTCCCAGAAAGCCTTATAATTGCTTAGAATTTGTATGAACAGTTCCAGTCTGGTGCACAATTAGGGATGCACTATAAAATTTTCATTGCTTGATTTAGTTGAAATTATAAGATGGATAGGGAACAGTAACACCCATAGTTGTAGACCATAAAAATGACTACTAGAAATTTGCAAATAATAATACCAATAGATTAAATTTTGATGGGTAGTTTTAAGCCCCCAAACAAAGAAATCTTACGTCCAAACATAGATCTAGAATAATTAGAGACTTTATATCGAAAAAATAAGTTGAAATTTAACATTGTACAAGGTTCAAGAGGAAAAGAGGGAAGAAAGACTCATTGCCCTGTGCTTTCTTTAGTGCAAATATATACTGATTCCTGTAAGAAGCAATCTTTTTCTCTGGCCCCCTGTATTTAAGGAAACAGAGGTAATAGTGACAAAAGGTGATTGGTATCAATACACTGCCAAGATTTTGCAGATTAATCCAATTGGCATTTATTTCTGAAATAAGCTAATTGTGCAAAAGTCCTTTCTAAAGGACTTTTTGTCATGCTGTGGAGTATAATTTCCACTGTTTCTATAGTTCTTGAGGCTCCCAAATTTCTCTACCATTGGCCATGCCATTAGAATATATTCATTAATTTAAAAGAATGGTAGTTGGTCTGTGCCAGCAAGTGTCTGTGAGTGTTTATGTTGCCAACATCTAATTGAAAAGTATACAGTCCCACACTTGCAGTTCAAATGTTTCAGCGCTGTGTGCATATAAAATTAAAAGAATAACACTGCTGGGCTCTTGGCCTAAAAATGCACTTGAGTGGAGGAGCCAGGTGAAATGTAGATAATCCAAACAGAGGTGAACTGGAATTTCAGAAACCTTGCTATGGAAGGCCTGCTGTGAGAGAACCACTGTTCAAAGTGAGAAAATGCATTAGCTGTTAAATCTATTGGTGTAGAAAAGCCAATGTCAGCAACTCACTATCACATATCCAAAAATGTTATCTATCTGTCTATCATCTCTATCTATCTATCATCTATCTATCTATCTATCTATCTATCTATCTATCTATCTATCTATCTATCTATCTACTTATCTTCTCACCTACCTAATTACCTAATGAATAGAGACATTATCAGGGGCTCTACTGGTTGGTCCATCTACAGGAAAGAGGACTCAGGGGAGAAACTAGGCTATCTAGGGAGTGTAGAGTTTCCAGAGCAAGATGAAACTCACACTGAATTTATAATGGAACCTGGAGACATACAGTAGTCACATTTTGGCTCAAGAAGTCATTTAAACACCAAACTTCCAAGCCCCGAGGACTGAGGATGTTTCTAGAACTCTGTACAAAGTAAATATTGCTATTTACATGTTGGACACTTCTATTTATATGCTGGACACTCTATTACTTAATTCTCCATGAATATTTGTGTACATCCTACATCTTGCATGCATCAAACTTGATAGTTGTTTTTTTTTTAGACGCTGTATAGAAGATCATGAGTTTCATAGAGTCTCCTTTTTCCTGTGCAGTGGTGTGATCTCAGCTCACTGTAAGCTTTGCCTCCCTGGTTTAAGCAATTCTCCTGCCTCAGCCTCCCTGGTGGCTAGGATTACAGGTGCCCACCACTGTGCCTGGATAATTTTTTGTATTTTTAGTAGAGATAGTGTTTCACCATGTTGGCCAGGCTGATCTGAAACTCCTGATCTCAGGGCCTCCCAAAGTGCTGGGATTATAGGGAGCCACCATGCCCAGCCCAAACTTGATAGTTTTATACCATCTTTCTGTTGAGGTAAAAATGGCATAGTCCTGTGCCATTCTACCCTGATTTTAGTGACTATGGTGAGAAGAACAAGGTTTTCTCCTTGGTTCAATTTCAAGCAATAAAGAAAAATACATTGTGAGCAGATTCACACAATCCTAACTCTGCTATTTAATACCTGATTGATATTAAACAATTCACAGTCAACGATTTGCAATCTTGTGAGCCTCAGTATCTTCATTGTAAAATTCAGCCTAATGGCTCTAACCCACCATACGGATTATTCTGACAATCCAATAAGTAATGATTTCTCTTTCCTGGTACTTTTCTCTCTCCAGATTAATTGCATAGAGGAGTACAGATAACAACTTGCATCTATTTTTCTTTTTCTTTTAAATTCAACCTCATGCTTTCATGTCAGGCAATTCTGTCATTATTTATTGTGCTGTATATAAGATCACAAGTTTCATAGAGTCTCCTTTTTCTTGTAAAGTGAAAAAACAGTAATTACATCAAAGAGTTGTTAGAATTATTAAACAAGATTGTATGTGTATATGTCTGTATGTATACATGTGTGTATGTACATGTATATACCTATGTATATACTTTGTACAGTGAGGCAGTATGTTGCTTAATAAATACTAATAGTACTTGTGATTATTGATTTTTTATATGTATAAGGTTATAAACATTAAAGGTGGCAATGTGTTAGAAGAGAATATACATGTTTGAGTGGCTCAGGGAATAAAATGTTTCCCATGTTTGGAAAGAGGCTTATGATTTTCCATGTATTATCCAGAAAACTGGTGGCTGTAAAGACACATCTCAAACTTGGCTTACACCAAAAGCCAAAACACTTGGAACATATTGTCACCTACATTGTAAATTAGTAGATTAGAAACCTTGGGTTAATTTCTAATCTTCTCTTCCTTCTTTTCACTGGTGAAAACATATTTAAAAAACTTTAATATACTACTATCCTGTGAAGCAAATGTGGTCAAAATCAGAGATATGGACCTCACCTATAAGAAAGTAACTACACAATTCCAAACTTCCTTTCTATTCCCTTCCCTTCTTGTGAACCTATTGAACTGCCAGTTAGTATGAAAGTTAAAGTGTGAGAAACCACAAAAATGTCTCAGACCCCTTTATACCAAGCTCTAGAAATGTACTTGGAGATGAAGATAACCATAAAATGAGGACAACATTGTGAAGTTTCTCAAGCCCACTTGTCCACAGAAAGGACTGATTGTGAAGGTATTCTTAATGTTCCCTCTCAAGTTTCCTCTTCAAAGGATTGAAGCTAAATCTAGCTTGTGACTTTAGAAATCTCAGGCGTTTTCTTGCTTTGTCATAAACTTCTTCAAGAAGCATTTCTGCACTGAGTTTCTGTAGAGAAAGGTGGTGTCTGTGACTTTAAATGTGAGGCATATCCAGTGTTGGAGTAATTCAGTCATTGATTCTGCCCCTTTGAAAATGTTAGTAAAGGATCTAAAGTAATAGCATAGTATTTGTCCCCAAGAAAAACAACCTGGTCTGTACAATCGCCTCATAGAAGCTGCTTATTAGCACGTTTGAATTCACTGCCCAGGGGAATAACATCTAGAAATCCCTGAAAGGATTTTGGAGTGACATTGCCAAGGCATCCTGGGAACTATTGCTGAGTCCCTTCCAGTTCACACTTGATCTCTTGAACACACTGTTTAACCTCTCTGTATTTAGCCTGAGAAAGCTGAATTACAGGGCCCATAATATTTGTAACTCAAGTCCCCAAATAGGGTGTTAAAGAGATGAATGAAGCAGTTTCCAAGAAGCTTGGAGGTCTGGAATGAAAATATGCTGAAACAGAGCACAAAGCTAAGTCCTGATCAGTCTGCATACAGCACATATACAGAACATAGATGCTCATCGTCTGATTTGTTCCCAGCGTAGAGAGCATCTGAGCATCAGTTGACTTTATCTTCTACAGCATGTGTTTAGGTGGGTAAATCAGTGTGAATGCACAGGGTTACTGCAACTGACTGTTTCAGTCTGTGCTGTTCATTCATAGCGTAACATGTTTTTAAAGATGCAGACTGCTGTAACTCCCGCATCCCTCTGCTATGTATTGCCACTTGCTTTTAAGATACTAAGTACCTTTTCCCTTTCATTCTTGAATTCTGGCGCCATTTTATCATAGCTTTCCTCTGATTTGAAAAAAAAAAAATTTAATACTATTAAGTATATGCACCTTTAATGTCATTTAAAAATATAAAGTCAAAAGTGAGAATGAGGGAAATCAATCGGATTAAAAAGTATTAAAGGTCAATGCTATTTAACCCACATTATATTATATTAGTTTGATCCTTAGAAGAAATTTTGATGACAATCACTAGATCAAGTTAGGAAGTTATATTAATGCTAATGCCTGTTTATAGGCTTTTAGGATAAAGGTATATTAATTGGCTTCCTGTTTTAGTAACATCCTGAGGCAGACCTATTTAAAAACTCCTCTTTAATAAAAAGTAATCATGTGCCTAATTCTCTTTCCTTAGTGCACATCTTTGCCTCCCTCTTGTCTGCTCATGCCCAACATAAGCACACAGACATGCCCATGGAAATAGTTATTAGGCAGGGACGGGTTATTAAAATGGAACAGATAGAGGTCCATGTCAAGATGTAGCTGCCAAAAAGTATCCTTACTGGTAGGGCCTCCCTTACTGACTGCCCCTAAAATTCCTAGCTGACTCATTCCTTATGTAAGAAATTGAAGACTGTCAAAATGCGAACATTTATAAATGTGGCAATACTGATATCTCAGAAGTCAAGGGAATGAAAAGGAATGGAGATCAGTTTTGATAAAGGGAACAGGAGAGGTATGTCTGTAAAACGGGAGGCTACTAAGCTGTCATGTGAGTAAAGAAAGAGGGGGCTTCTGGACAGTAAGCTAATAACAATATAGCAGTGCAAATACAGAAATGATGATGGAAGGCCGGGCACGGTGGCTCAAGCCTGTAATCCCAGCACTTTGGGAGGCCGAGGCGGGTGGATCACGAGGTCAACAGATCGAGACCATCCTGGTCAACATGGTGAAACCCCGTCTCTACTCAAAATGCAAAAAATTAGCTGGGCATGGTGGCGCATGCCTGTAATCCCAG